CTCCATCTCTCTGAGGCTGAGATGTTCTTTCATACCTCAGTATCTTCACCCAGGTCATCTCCATTTCTCTGAGGCAACAGAACTGCCTGGTCCCACAGGCGAGACAAACATTCAGGCCCACTTGGACACTCTCCACATGTAGGGACAAAGGAAGAGGGGATCCCTGGGAGAATACTCCTTTGATCAGGAGTCGGTGTGTGTTTGCCACGTTGCACTGTGTATTTGCTGTGAGGTGTCTGTGTTTGTTCCCTGTGCTGACCTCCCTGTCTCTCAGAGTGGGCACAACTCCCAGAACCCAGCTGTTCGGCCCTTACCTGTCACAGCTATGCCACAGCTCTCTCACCACACTCACGAGAGCTGTCACCACTGGGTCTTCACTCAAGCCCTCATTTAATCATATTCATCCCAAATGTGAGTCACACCACTGTTTACTTAGAAACAACAAAAGCTGTCAATCTGAATTGCAAAGGTGAGCGTTTGCAGGCCACTCAGGACTCATTCAGAAAACATTTCCCACTATTCTTATTCCAGTGTTTGCAACTAATAGTACATCAGCCCAGTGAAGCCATTTGAGTCTGATATATGTTTCTAGATGATAATTCAAGGATCCTTGTGGGAGTTCAAAGATGTCTTTTTGTAGCTCCATTGCACTTTGCTTCTCCTATTTTTGCTAATGTGATTCCTGTTTCATTAGCCTGTTGGAAGGGAGGGTGTGCTTGTGAGGGTGACTGTGTGCTTGTGAGTCACAAAAACACTACAAACATGCAGTTTCTGTTTAATAGAGCTTTCCTGATGAATATGACCTCAAGTCAAACAGAGTCCTGTGCTGTCTAACACTTAAAAATTATATTTCTTAATCTTGCTCCAATGCATAAAAACATTGAAAAAGAACAGTTAGAAATGATAGGGGGACATCAGTGCATGTGGCTGATTTGGAATTTAGTAGTTAAATGAACTAAGGATCTCATGCAGCTGTTTTTTTAAAGAAAGTCAAAGTATTAGCTTTGACTACACAGATGACTAGAAGGGCTGAGTGGTTGTAATCATTCTGTTTTTATTTCTACTCTCTGTCTTTTATCCAGTTTGAAATCTACAGTGACAGCACATGTAAGGGAAGAATGATTCCCATTTTGCTCTATTTTCTTTACCTTTTCCACAATTTTGGAAAATTGTATTACAAATTTAGCCCTTTTTGAACAGAAACAAACATCGGCGACAGTGGTTCTGATCATTTTTAACGCGCCATTTCTGGTACACCAGTGTTATAACTTTCCGGTCGTGATGATCCAAGTGTTCCCTTCTTCTGGGAGGATCACCAGTGCACGGAGCCAGTGCACATCTCGCTCAGCACGTCATTTCTGGAAATCCTTGTTTGGGCTGCAGGCTCTCCACTTATTCAGGCTCCTTGAGGCCTGCACACAAAGCACATCAAAGTCCCACAGGTTGAGACACGAGCCCACGGGCTTTTTATCTCCGATGGAGCTGTGTGTGTTTTATGAATACTTCTCTTTTTCCAGGTGAAAAGGACATGCCCCCGTAATAACCAGGCCCCGATTGCAAAACCTTGATTTCTCTGTGAATTTTTTCAGCCCACTGCCCCATTTTTAGCAGTGGCCTGCTATCAAGTCTGGACTGGCTCCACAGACCACAGGAGCCCCAGTGATTAGTTAACCTCTGGAAAGGGTGTCTAAACAGCACAGTGTGTCAGTGCACAGTATTGAGTGACAGTCCACTGTTTCACTTCAGTTCCTGTGACAGAGCAACATTACAGGCTGGACAGGCTGAATGTCCTCCTCTCGTTTGTAACCATTAAGAACATTTACCAAAGACAGGCTGTTTCTTATCCAGCTGTTTCTTGTAAGAAACCATAAAGAATTTGTTTCTCCAACTTGGTCACAATCTATATAAAGTTCATATTTATCCAGCCATCCATTTCATAACTGTTTCTTCCAATTCAGGGCCACAGAGGAGCCACAGCCTGTTCCATCAGGTTCAAGGCAGGATACACCCTGGATGTAATGCCAGTCCATCGCAGGGCATATACAGGGCACACCTGGAACAAAAACACACTCCCCACTCACCCCACGGCCAATTTTCCCACTAGCCAATTAACTTACCAGTATGCTAACCCACACTTCCAGGACAATCCTTCACCTCTGTCTCTGTCTCTATCCTTTCACAGAGACACACAGCTCCAGGCAGTCCCTCACATCTGTCTCTGTCTCTGTCCATCCATAGAGACACACAGCTCCAGGACAGTCTCTCATGAGGAGGAATGGGGCTGTCAGGCTGCCTCACTGAGACCTCATAGTTAATAACATTTGACCTTTCAAGCTTGTTTGCTGTCACTAACTTTGTAACTCTGCCGCTCTTCTGCAACATGCACAGAGCTGCTGTGTGTGCTGTGAAGAGCTGGACAGGCCTTCTTTCTTTAGCCAGGCGGAGCAGCTGGAATACAGTAAACACCCCTAGCTGGACATACATAGAAATCACACACTGAAGAGATGCAGAGATGCTGATTGTCTCTGTACATAAACACAGATCTGACATAATATCAAGTAGCCCTGCAGGGAGAATGTTTCAAAGGCAAGATGAATGAGAAAACAGTCCATTAAGCTTATACAAATGCTTCCAACTTAATTGAAGTCATTTGTGAGCAGCGTACCCACATGGTGCAGTACACCATGATGCCAGGCTTTGTGAGGCTATATAAAGGCTATATCTAATTGGGCTGCTGGAAGGAATTAGGGCTTAATAAGCCATAGCAGCTCTAATGAATGTGTTCTGAGTGCAGAGGTGCCAAGAAGCAGCTGCTTCAGTCACAACCCACGTCACAGGCAGGGCAGAGAGTCTTAATAGTTCCAGAATCAACCCAGTCCATTAGTTCAGTGCTCATCTGCCATCTCTCTCTCTCTGTTGCTGAAAGAAACATTCTGTCCCCACAGAACAGGCAATATACAACAAACACACTTCACTAGAAGAACCCTAACAGTCAATACCATCACAATCCACCCATAATTTCATTGCAGAGTAAGGAAATAAAGTGGAATTAGTCCAGATGTGTTTTCTATACTGAGATGATTTTATGGATCCATGTGAAACAACAAAACAACAACAAAAACCAAACATTCACTGACTCCGAAGTTAACAAAAAGTCCTGGTCTCGCGGTTTGTGGAGATCATCAGCACAACACATTGAGCTGTAGAGTCATACAGAAAAAGAAAAAGACAAGTGTTAACTACAGGTACCTTCATCTCATTTTACATGACCCTGTGATTTGCATGTTTCCAAAGGTTTGCATGTGAACTCTTCTTTCACGTACACTCACATCTCTGAAGAACAGTCATTCTCTCCTAAGGGCTCAAAAGGAATTAAGTGATGGTCCCCAGGAGCTGCCCGGCATTCAAGTCCAAAGAAAAGGACTTTCTGAGAAAGTTACCTAAGACTTTACAAGGACAAGATCAAGACAGAACATTCCATTGTAGTGGGTCACTCTTTATTGCTTAGTAGTACAAACACTTTGTAACCTGCTTTTTAAATTGATTTTGAGCACTGAAATTGTGACCAGTTAGGTGACTATTAGGCTTTTTGGTATTTGGTATGATCTTCATTGTTTGATCAGTTGCAGTACAGTAAAAGATTTGCTGTACAGATACAAGTATTCCCATTTTAATGCGTCCTTGTGCACCAGCCAGTGCTTGTGTTTTTGTCTCATTATGATGAAGTGGAGAAAGGCAGGGGATCATTTCAGAACAGTGGAGTACACCGGGGGTAAAATGATTGCCCAGAACAAGAGGGCAGCCCCATGTGAGCGCATAGCAGATGCTCCAGGAAAGGAGAGGACAGCAGTAAATAAGGCTGCTGGGGGAACACCCTACACTGGTCCTTCAGTGTCCCTGAACTTGTTACTCACATACCTCACGACATGTTTTCTTCTTTGCTGTCAATTTCCTTCTAACTATTTTCTACGAGGTGTTTAATATTTGTATTTCAAGAGTTCAGTTATTTATGTTATAACGCCCACTTCTCCACTTTATAGAAAATAAAGCCTAGCAACTAAAATGTTACGGGGAGAAATTCTCAAAGGCTGAGATAAGCAGAAGAAAAACACACCTGGAGCAACAGCTGTACATAAGCACAGAAACAACAAACCCTTCTCCTCAATCAGGATGAACAGCTGTCAACACCCTTCTCCTCAGTCACAGTCTGCACAGCTGTCACTTTTAACCCCCTGCACGCCATTTCAGGGACTGTGCCTCTGTGAGCTGGTGGAAGCCTCAACCTCCTCCAGTAAATTAGGAGACAACGGATCTTAGGAGGTTTCTTCAGCTGCTCTGTGTGACTTTCTCTAGAAGTGCATTGTATGGCTTGGGCCTTTGGGGCCATTGTTCAATGATTCCCCAATTCAAACCTGGGACGTACACCTTCCACACTACATACAGTGTGTATGTAGCCATAATTTATTGTTTATTGCTAAAAGCTGTAGGAGCTGTGTCACGAGCCCAGGGCTGTCACTCAGTGTGGGGCAACAGTTTATTCTAATGTTTCCGGCAGTTACAAACATCGAAGCTTTTTGTGTTCATATGTTTTTTACGCCATTATTCACTGCTAATTATTTTTGCAATGTGGTGCGGTGTGTAAGAGGACTGTTTTTTTAACTTTATACTATATTTGAAAGCCTGGAAATTTGAATGCAAAACATGTTCATGTTGCAAAGCTTTGTAATGACTGAATATAGACTGATTTTAACTGAACAGGCTTTGCCAGGGGAATGTTTACTATCAGAATCAGACTGAATTGTATTGTATGGCTGTTCTCCTAGTTACAATGCTTACAATGAAACACAGCCTGTGTACTCTTACTGAGAAGCGCAGCCCTGTCAACGACTGCGGCTGCTCGCCTGTGTCTGAGGAACCTGTGGCACCCACACTTGCCCTCCGCAACCAAGCAAACACGTCCTCGCACCAGATTGTCACAGAAACAGACAAGGGGGCAGGATGTTGGCGTTTCTTTAATAAAGTGTTTATCACAAGACAAACAGGTGCAGCAGGTGTCTGGGAAGCAGTCAAAGGCTCTCCTGGAGCAGAGGAAAGGTGGAGTCCCTGTGCCAGCCCTGCCCAGCCGTGGAAATTCTGGGATTCCTGCAGCACCTGCGCAGTAACAGAACACAGCACACACTGACACATGGGCAGAGGGAAGGTCTTCTTCTGTTTCCATGACAGCCATCACCAGCTTTGTCATCATGCTTCATAATGTCCCAACATTCTTGGTCTAAAATGGCTTGGAATGGTTGGCTTAAATTACTAAGCATTTGAATGCAAAACATTTTTGATTCATTAATACGTATTAGAGTTAGTGTTAGTCTCCTATGGAGACTTTTAAAGCTTTTCTTTCATAGCACAATTTGCTTTTTTGTGAAAGTAATTCTAAAAGTCTGAAGGTATGAATCCAGAAAGAGATATCACAGATGTGAAAAAGTGTGTGGTTGCTTTTTTAAGGGAGCAATGTGTTACACCTACCACACCAGCAGCATTAGAGACTACACTAAGCCCAATTTCTGCTTTTAACTTTTACAATAATTTTTAAAAAGTGTGGAGAATAGTTTCACTGGAACAAATAGCTTAGAAAGACATTTTCACTGTACATAATTTAAAATAGCAGCGGTAGAAATGCTGTGAGTGAGTGAGAGGGGCACGCCGCACGCGGTTAAATCCCTTACCGCCACAGGGAGGGAAAGACCGGTGCTGAAGTACAGTCTCTGGCCTGTTTCACTGCAGCGTTCGTTGCTCTCTGTGTCGGTGATGTTCTTGTCCCTTTGTGCGTCTCAGTCCGTGCAGCAGGAAGCGCCTCACAGCACAGTCTGGCTCCGTGTCCGTCGAAACGAAGCGGGCGCTTTTTCTCCCGTGGAACTACCCGACCGCATGCGCTTGATACTGGCGAGGTGCTTCTTTATCAGGCTTTGGAATCGTGTTTTCTCCGGCTTGTTGCAAGGAGTGAGCGAAAGAGAGTTAGAGGGAGTTGCAGGGGGGGAAGAAGTGGCTTTGCAGATGGCGTCCCAGGACACCGAGCGGCTGGACCGAATGGGTTGTAAAGTGGGTTCCTGCTGCCCGGTTGGAGGCTGCTCAGAGACGCCAACAGGGGAGGAGCGGCTCCGGGAAAGCGAGTTGCTCTTTTTTCGGTGGGACAGCAGCGAGCGGATGTCCTGGGGGTCTTGTTCGAAGAAGAGGGACTCCTTTCTGCGGATGTTCGGGCTCTCACCCAGAGCTAGGAAGCCGTAGGGGGTGGTGATCTTGGCGAGGTGCGGTAGAGAGAGGGCGGCGCGGGTCGCCGGGTCGGAGTGGTCGGCAGCTCTTTCCAGATCCTGTGTGAAGAGAGACCCGTCAGTAGACGGGAGGAAGGCTTTCTTGCACAGAGCTTCTCTGCGGGCCACTGCCTCTCTCCGGCTGCTACAGGGCTCAGGCGAGGCACAGCTGGGTTTAGTGCCACAGGTGACCTGCAGTTCCTGCGCGCACCCGGGCTGCCCTCCATCCCCGGGATTAACGTGTACAAAGATGTGATCCACCTCCAGCGAAGGGATGAAGAACTGGGGGATGCGGTCCGGCGTGACCATGACGCTGAAGATGTCTCTGTTGCGGGCCAGCGGTCTGTCCTTGGTGGAGCTCTTGCTGGGCTTGAGGTTGGTCCAGGTGAGCACATTGTCGAGCGCAGTGCGCAGAGAAAGGCTGGAGCTGGCGGACAGCATGCTGAGCTGCTCTCTCCGTCTGCGGCAGAGGGGCTTCCTGGGATTCTTATAGCGAGCCCCCGGGGCCAGAGCCGCCCCGAGGGAATGACATCACTGCCACAGGCGGGAACTGCGGGCTGCCTGCGGATTCGCTGCACCGAGTGTTATAAAATTATCCACAGCTCAACTCATCTACGCGCTTTTTCCTTTTTGAAAAGTTAGTTGATAGCGAGGAATATGAGCACTTTATATGTGTGCCGTGTTTACTAATACACTGTGTTATGCAGATCGCTGCCTGTTCTTTGGGGAGTTCTTCTGGCGTGTTTCAGCACCAAGCCCCGGCAGACAGCGCCCAGTGTGTCCACTGCAAAAGGAACAGGAAAAGAGGAGAGAAAGATTTAAGATGAGATAAGATCACTTTATTGGCCATATACAATTTCTTGCATTAGGAATTTGTCTTTTCGCATACCCCAGTTTGCTCTCCATGAGACACACAGGTACGCAGACAGGAACAAAGAACATTTGGGAAAAGAGAGGAAATGAGGGCGAATGGAGAAAGTCAAGCAGAGCCGGAGAAAAAGAGAAAAGTGAGGGAGGGAGAAAGGCTGCGAGAGGCTGTTTAAATGAAAATCAGATCTGACGCTTCAAATAAGGGTTTCGCTGTCAAAACACGACCATCGTTATCAAAAAAGCGTTACCGACGGTGTTTTTCTCCTACTGTACAGTACCTCATAATAATAACTACAGTATATCCGAACTACAGTATATTGAAATTATTGAAATAATTAAATTGTACTATAACTGTGCAGAAAAACGGGTAGCAAACTGTACTGTAGCTGCGTAGTTAACTGTGCAGTAAACTTGTCATAGTTGTGAGGTAAAGAGAAGTAAAATCTACTGTAGCTGTGCAGTAAATTATAAATTAACTGTTGTGTATTGTGTAGTAAACTCTAGCTGTTAGTAATCAGTGTAGGAAACTCTAATGTAGCTGTGCAGTAAACTGTACTGCAGCTGTGTAGGAAATTGTGTAGTAAACTATAATGTAGCTTAGTCTTCAACTGTGCAGTTATATACAGTAATACTATACCTATATAGTAAACTGTGAAGGTAACTTTACTTCAGCTGTGCAGTAAACTGTTCAGTACACCATGTGTACAGTCAGCTGTGTGAACATGTATGCCTTTGAAAGCAAGCCTCTTGTGGGTGTGCCTTTAGTCCACGCTAAAGGCAGAGTCCCGACATGAGGCATCAGTCGACAGAGGTACTAAACCATACAGATAGACTTCTGGACATAATTTCCAGCATGAGACCAGAGAAGAGCATCCAGATACATTCTTATTTTAAAGGAATGTCCTACATTGACAGGCTGGAGGACCTGCTGCTTTTTATTCAGGAACAGAAAAGATAACAAGAGGACGTGATACAAGTATTTAAAATCATTACCAGCACTGACAAAGTCAGCTCTGCAAATTTCTTCTGAATGCAGAACACGATCCAGAGGACACCAGTAGAAACAACTTGTGGAAGTACCTTTCTAACTGAGAATGGAAGGTGTACACTAAGGGTTGTGGGAGTGTGGGACAAGCTGCCCACCCATGTTATTGAAACTGATGTACTGGCTTCTTTCAAGAAACAGCTGAATGAGATTCCTGGTTCAATTAACTTCGAACTACCTAACAGGCTACAGAAGATAGACCAAATGGCCTCATCTCATTAGTAACTATTTCAATGTTCTTATTCCCACATGGCATACATTTGATGGGCTATATTCCAGGGTGCAGATGAAGCGCTGTAAAGAACCACAACCAGTGTGGGCTGGGGCACTGGAGCAGCAGCTGGGTCCAGGCAGCTCGTCACACCACGCTCCGTATGCCTCAGGATTCTTGTTCTGTATTGGGAAACAAGTAAAAAAACATTTGAGATGGTCCAGCTCACTCATCTCTTCTGAAATTGTCCCAGTTTCCCTTCTTTCTCTGCCTATTTTCCCTCTTCAATATCCATTTGCCTCCCTCAGGCAGGAGCGATTAAAGGCCATTAGTGAGTCACTCTGCACATTGGCCATTTTCAATGACTCTTCAAAGAGCATTTTCTTGCAGCCAATTTCATGCTCTCTTGGTGCCTTTTAAAACATATTGATATCTATTAAAATATATGGTGCATTTCATAGTTTCAAATCAGATGTTTTGGGCTAGAATTATTTCAAGCTCTCAGACTGGTGAAGATGCGACCTATGTGGTTTTACACTCTTTAAAGGCTCAGATATTTGAAATACAGAATTTTATTTGAAATGTTATGTAAAATTAAAATTAGGATTATGAGTCATGTTATGTTTTCACCCTCCTGAGGGAGAGCCCACAGTGCACTCTGTTGGTGAGTAATAATAATAATAATAATAATAATAATAATAATAATAATAATAATAATAATAATAATAATAATAATAGCTTACACTTATATAGCCCTTTTCTGGACACTCCACTCAAAGCGCTTTACATCAAATGGTAATATACTCAGGTCCAAGATCAGAAGGCTGCTTATTTCTGATGAGCTTCACGGTCCACTGTAGGCAGTACACACTGGAAAATAGTTAATACTGTGATGAAGACTAGAACATATCAGTAAGACTGCAGACTAGCTGAATGAAACTCTTGAAAATACGGCTTTCAAAAACACACCTAACCCTAACTCAGAGCTGCAGTCTGTGTATGAAGTGCATATCCAAGTGTTCCTGAAGGAGTTTAATAGGTCAACTACTGGTCTATTGTCATTCTTTGGTTGTAGAGATCTTAGGCCTTACAAAAATGGAGTTCTGTTTCCCAGTTCCAGGTGCTAACTAGATGAGGGCCAGGGCACTGAATGACAGAAGCCTGTGTGCACTGCAGCCTGATTGAGGCCAGAGTTTAACACTCAAAAGCAGCACTGGTTTATGCCCCAGAGCCACGTCTGTAGTTGAACCATGGGGTACATAGACATTCAAGGACTTCTTTAGGAACCCTAATGAGTGTCGCTACTTTGAAAAGCTCTTTGAATAGACAAAGAATTAAACACAAGGCAGCTCATCCCGATGGTGAACAATTGCTGCATTCAGGAGTGAAGGCAGACATGAGATGAGAGAGAACAGGAGTGTCTGGACAAGTCCCTGCTCTCTTCTGCTTGGAGCAGAAACTAAATCTAAACAACAGTGACCTCTTGTGGATAAATGGTTGTACTGCATTTCCTCCCTTGCCTGAGATAGCACAGGTGCTGCTCATGTAGCACAATAAATAGATCAATCTTTAGGTAGGTTAGAATTCAACACAAATGTAACACAAATCGAGAATGTAAAGCACAGCTCATCTTTTTGTTCTAAGATAATTGAGTCGAGTGTTCAAAATCCGAAGAGAGATTGCCAGATCTTTGCTCCAGATTCAAAGCTACTATTCATAGTCTGGGCTGTGGGAGTGTTAACAGTATATTTTTTTTTGATTCCAGCTGGAGTACTTAATTAATCTACAGTAATTATTTAGGTTATTGGGTTGATTCTTTACACATTTTTACATTATCGTTTTGTGAAAAGACTTTGAAAGACAAAGACTGTCTAGACCTTGCAATAATTAAACTGCAGAGCATTAATACTAGGCAAAAAAGGAGCTCACAGAAGATGAAGGTGTTAATTAAAGAGTAACTGCAGTCCCAATTTCTCAGACTGGTTATTAAATCTCAGTAACAAAATACATTTATTAATGTTATAGAAAAAAGTTACTTGTGAAAGTACTGTACTGTATGGTCGCTGTGGGGGTGCCGAGCTAGGTGTCATGGGACCTTATCAGTTCATTATTCACTCTCCGGTTCTCCCTCTTCCTCCCTTGGTCTGGCTAAAACTGGCTCAGTGACTCCTCACACCTCCAAGTCTCGATACCTAACTGTTCCTGCTAGACGGTATTCACTGGGACAACTGCAGTCGCCCCCCCCTTGAGTAAGGGGCAACATTGACACCACCCTGGAAATCAACATAACCTAATCACTCCCAGCCTTTTACTGCCTCAATGGTCTGCATCCTGCAACACTAATCAACACAACCCAATCAATCCCCGCCTGTGACTGCCTCAATGGCCCACATCCTGCGACATAAATGAACGATAAGGATCTGTCCAGGTGTAATACAGATTAGTTGCTATATTGGCTTAACCTGCCTGTTACGGAAGGAATAAAATCCTGTCTATAACAGATTGTCAGCAGTGCTTAGTGCCATGCAACTACTGTTGGAGCTACATTATTCTCCAGTCATTGGCTGTTAAACCCTCTCTTGAGGGTCTGTCATAATTGGGTTATAACTGTATTTTGTAATCAACCTAAACAGGTTGAGCAGATAACATCACTTGTTTCCGTAATGGAATTCTAACAAAATTATAATAGAAATTTGGGAGGAAGATTGGGAGCAGATGGTCGGAAGTATGCAAGATTGGGTAGATCCTAAACCTGCACACTTCTGCCAGCCTTCGTACAGTACATGTATCTCGCACCTGGAACTTCCTGTAGTCCAGCTCTCTCATATGGAGCACCTCTGCTCAGAATTCTGCATCTCGCTTTGTTAAAAACAGGCCTGTCTTGCATTCGACATTCTCAAGACCATACTTTTATCACATTCATCCAGGAGCAGAGTCCCTCTCACTTCACACCCAGCACCTGGGCCTAGGCAGCTACAGAAATGGCTTCCCTCCACCATTCACCTTTCCTTCTCTGGTGTCCAACTGGTGGTTGATACTGGCCTTCGCCTCTTCCCCTCCCAAGCCTCCAACCTCATAATGTATGTCGCCTTTTGTAGGATACAGCTCACAATTTGCTCTAATTCAGCTAAATTCTACAAGTATGAGCTCTCTTCTATCTTCAGCATTAGACTACACTTCCGGTATCTCTTTCTGTTGTGGCAGTGTGGGAGTGGGAGGAGCCGCGTTGAGCACCGGTGAAAGTCGATGTCCCGTCTGTGAGGGCACCAGTGTGAAGTTAGTGAAACCCCCCCCCCCCCCAAATCAAACAAAAAGAAAAATAGAAAAATGTGCTGCTGTGTAACATGGGGACCAGACAGGATTAACCCCACTTAATGGGGTCCAGTCTGGGAGAGCAGG